TTTCCCTCCCCTTCTCTCTTTCCCTCCCCTTCTCTCTTTCCCTCCCCCTCTCTCTTTCCCTCCCCCTCTCTCTTTCCCTCCCCCTCTCTCTTTCCCTCTCCCTCTCTCCCACGTGTCCCTGTCAGCCTCTTCTTCCGCTCATTCTCTCCCTTCCCTCTCTTTCTCTGCCCCCCTTCCCTTCTCACAATAAACTTGCTTTTATGTTAGGCCTGTCCCATGGCTTCCCTTGGCTTGATTGTTCAGGGGTACACCTTGGCAGGATCTGCCTCGCTCCCCCCCACACACACACACAACCGATGTTTTATAAAACACAACAGTCGCCCTGCTTTTGAGTCATGGGGAACATCATACCCAGTAGAAACAACTTCAGGGAGGGCAGGTTTATTTTGGATAACAGCTTCAGGGGGTGGGAGGGAAGAGTGTGGCACAGCGGCTCAGTTCATGATGGCCAGAACTCCTAGTAGAGGATGCTTACATCACAGCAGACCAGGATGCAAAAGATCGTGACAGGGACCATATACAAAGAGCCTCCTATAAACTTCAAATGCCTCCCCTAGTGACCTGCTTCTGCCAGTCAGGCTCCACCTCCTTAAAGTTTCGTGGCTTCTCAGAATATTCAACATCAGTGAGCACTTGGAACATCAACCTGTGGGGGACATTTCAAAAACACAACAGCAAATTCAAGGCCATCATAAAGCTGTATGGCAGGAGCTAAGGAATAATCTACCTTTAAAGATGACACTGGGCTGAACAATTGTCCCAACACCTGCATTCTCTGTGCATCCCTCGTGATTCAACTCTTGGGCTGGAGAGATAGCATAGCGGGTTAGTGTGCATACTGCTGTGGCAGGGGACCCAAGTTCAGTTCCCAGAACTCACATAACCCTACACACACACACACACACACACACACACACACACACACACACACTATGGTGGTTTGAATAAAAATGGCCCCCTTAGGCCCATAGGGAGTAGCCCTATAGGTGTGGCTCTGTTGGAGGTATTCCACTAGAAAGTGGACTTTGAGTTCTCAGATGCCCAAGCCTAGTTTGTGTGTCACAATCACTGTCTACCGCCTGTTGATCAAGATGCAGAACTCTCAGCTACCTCTCCAGCACCATGTCTGCCTGAATGCTGCCATGCTTCCCACCATGATGATAATGGACTACAATGAATTTTAGAGCTCTAGCACCTTCTAGCTCTAAAATTCAAGGTATACATTTCTCTATGGGTCAACTATTTACCAATGGCCATTTATTTGGTATGTAACTCAGTCCTAAAATAATGTTAACAGAGGAATGGGCTGATTTCATTGAAATGTATGACATGGTGCTAACTTTGAAATATGTGTGTGTGTGTGTGCACGTGCACACACACATGCACACATGCGTTTTAATTAAGATAGGGTTTCTCTGTGCAGTCTGGCTTCAAACTCACAGAAATCCATCTGGCCTGCCTCTGCCTCTGCCTCCCCAGTACTGGGATTAAAGATGTATGTATCCACCACTGCCCAGCCCTTATAGCCATTTTAATGAATGGGTTTTCACTGTTGTCTTAAGAACTTCTTAAAGTAGATAAACTGTTTAAAAAGTGGGTGTGTCAACGTATGCATGTAATCCCAACACTCTGGAGGCTTCGGTAAGAAGTTGTGGGGTTTGAGGCCAGTCTGGCAAGACAGACTTCCCAAATAAGTATTTAAACACTTTCCCTTCCCCCTAAAAACAAGCTTTATTTTATTATAGATTATGTTGTCGACAAAGCCAATGCTAGGAATATTGATTGAAATCTGATTGGTTTGCTTTTTGAAAACAAGTTTTAGACTAAACACTGACTTCAAGTTTAGCATGTTAGAGCTAGAAAGAGACCACATTTTTTAGTCCAATTCCAGACTTTCTACTCTGGAATTTCTAGGAGCAAGATACACGAATTGACAGGAATTCAGGGTTCTGAGATTAGAATGCACGGGCCCATGTGTCCTCTGCTTTATATCAAAGGACAGTATGTTGCTCTGTGGGTGAATCAGCTGGGCCTGGAGAGTGAAGTGACTGTCATGTGAATTGGTGACAGGCACAATGAAGGGCACAGCACTCGGTCTTAACAAATTAACTCTCTTTGCAGGGGACAGGAAGAGCAAGGCTAATTAGTAGCTATTCACACTGTGAAGCAGGAAATGGATCCTGAGTAGTCAGGAAGCCAAAGATATAAGATTTACCTCAGATACTAGCTGTAAGTGTTGCAGCTCCGAAGAAAAAGGCTTCTCCTACAGAAGTTCTCTAGCTTCCTGGAAAGTTTCCCCAACCCAGGTGTTACAACTCTGCTCCAGAAGGGATGCTTCCCCAGTCAAAGTGTTACAGCTCTGCTCTGGCAAAAATGTTCTAGCTCTGAGGGGAAAGGTATCCTGGCAGTTGGGAATACCACAAAGTCACATCACACAACAAATTTCACACAATAGATTTATTGGGAGGCGGAAACTCAAGAGGGTGGCTGCCTCTGTCTCTCTGCCTCTCTGCCTCTCTCTGCCTCTCTGCCTCTCTCTGCCTCTCTGCCTCTCCGCCTCTCCGCCTCTCCGCCTCTCCGCCTCTCCGCCTCTCCGCCTCTCCGCCTCTCCGCCTCTCCGCCTCTCCGCCTCTCCGCCTCTCCGCCTCTCCGCCTCTCCGCCTCTCTGCCTCTGCTCCAGTGGGAAGCAGCAAAGAACTGGGCAGAATGTAGGGTTTCTATAGAGTTTCTTGGGGGTAGGTGGGATTTCCAGGGTGGCCTGGGATTCAGCGATTGGTTGGATTTTTTTGTAGGGCGGGGCCTGAACACTCTCCAGACACACTGGTACAACCACGAGTGACTTCTGCAGGGCGGGACCTGGCCACTTGTGTGCCTTGAGGGTTTATAACATTTACAAAGTGTACCAAGTTTACAAAGGGAACGCCTTCCCTGCTCGAGTTGGCATAAAGAGCCAACACTAGCAACATTCCTCCTCCACCTGTTGTGGGCTGCTATTTTGACAGCTCCTGTGCTGGTGGATATCTTATTGAAGCCACCTCATCTCTTCTTATTTAAAAAATACATCACTTTTCCTTAAATGTCTGGTCATTTTCCCAACTCACTCTGTATTCAGAGATCTGTATACCTCTTAGTAATGAGCTCTATTTGAAAACAGAATTGTAACAACCTTCACATAGACGCTGATGACAGGAGAATAGTATACTCAACCATTGCAGGTTGGAAAGAATGCTGGTGCTCGGGAATGGACTCAACTAACCATGGCAGTATCTGACAGATACGAGGGCTTTGGAATCAGAATAACGAAGTAGCTGAATACAGCCTTGAGGAAATTGTGGACAAGTTCTGGTTCAGTTTTCTCATCTATAAAATGAGGATAATAGAGCTGGGTGTGTGGTGCACAACTTTAATCGCACTCCAGAGAAGGATCTCTGTCAAATTTAAGCCAATGATACATGGTAAGATCCTGTATTTAAAAAGAGAGAAAAAGATACAATAATCTTATGATGGTGCAAGTCTGTAGGACGTGGAGGCAGGAGAGTCATCCTCTGCTACAGAGCGAATTCTAGACAAGTCTGGGTACATGAGTTTCTGTCTATGCTTCATAGGTTGTAGTACGGATTAATTTAAGCTCATATTAATGATTAGCACGCTAACTGGAGGCTCTAACAATTCCAATTCCTCTTTGGTTTAGGAAAGCAGATACTTAGCAGCGGCTGGGGCTTATAAGGACACACCATTAGAAATGGGTGTGCCAAGAAAATCTTTATTTAAGTATCAAATCAATCTGGCTGTCTGACATGTCTGGAGACACCGCTGACACTAAATGTTCAGCATCACGGGCTGCCTTTACGGCTGATTAAACGGTTGGCTACAACTCCCAGGGTGCACCACACCTTGACACGCCTACAATGTGACGCCTCTCAAATTCACCAACCTCCAATGGGCAGGCTTTCGGACTCAAACTACAAACCCCAGAAGGCCCTACACCAAGTGTATTACTACCCACAATTTATGCCCGTGATCTGCAGCCGTATTGGCTGTTGGGAAAGGTAGTTCGACGGTGGCCGAGCCATTCAATGCCAGAGTCCCGCTCCAAGATGGGTGAAGTTGCAGCGCTTGAGTTTTAATTCCTCTAACAGTCCAGAAGCGAAAACTGCTTAGGCAAGGCTCTGAAAGACGCTCCTGGGCTAGGGCTGTTCTAAGAAGGTGCCTCACCTTACCGTAAGCCTCCCCAGGTAAGAAAGTGGGCTGCAAAAGAGGCAGCAGCTTTGGAGATGGACGAGACCAAATACGGCGGAAGGAGGGAACAGCAAGGATGGGAGGATCCAAGTAGAAATACTAGAGGCAAAGTGGGGAGGGGCGTCCTCTTTTTGCAAGCGCCCAGGATGTCCCAGCAAAGAGGGACGTCTATGCGGTGGGGTTCATTTGTGATTTGTGGTTTATTAGTTGGGCCTCTCATTCCATGGTCTCACCTCTCCGACTAGGTGGTCAGTCAGCATACCAGGCCGTCGCAGTTTAGGTAGATAATCCTGCTTGAGTACAAGGCTGAGAGTTTTAATTGCTGCTGGCTGGCTGGCTTTCGTGTAACATCTGTGAGAAGAGATGTTTTGGGGTCCTTTGTCTAAAGGGAGTCTTAGCAGGAAATAAAATTTAAACCCTCTGAAATCTAGATCTTCCTTTGACGACTGGCAATGCCACTGGAGTATTTCCTGTATTACAAGCATTATAATGTAAAAGTAACTTTTATTCTCCTGTTGTAATTGTTGTCTTCGAGACTTACTGCCTCCGTCTGCTAACCTAGGCCTAGTCCTGGAAGCTTCTAGTCTCTTTATATTCTTGTCTGGGCCTTGAGTGTTTTCAGCCTCTTGTGGCTTGCTGCTGAGTAAGCTCACCCTTTCTTCATTCTGAACTCTAGCTGGCTGGTTCATCTCAGCTGTTCTGACTCAGACTCCTCTCCCAGCTGACTTACTCAATCTGGCTTTTCTCTCTGCCTCTGAATTGCTCTGTTTGGTCTCAAACAAACTCTAGGGATCTGTCCTAATCTTCCAGCTCCTTCTCATTCTCTGGCTCATTCTATCTTTACCTGTGTTTAGCTTGTTCTCTCATCAATCTGTGTCTGTAAAATTCTTCCAGTAAAACTGCTCTTTCTCCCTCTCAATTCCACTGTGCTGCTCTCCACAAACTACTGTATTCCTGGACTGTACCCTCTTCCTCCTGTACTGTCTGTCTCTCCCTTAAGTAGCTTTCCTTTCCTCTCCTTGTGAGAGTTGGGCGTACCCTATTCTATCGAATCTTACTCTGATTCATCACATTTTCTGCCATTCAATTAGACATCACTTTCAAACGTGGGTGCTTCCTCCTACAAACTGACATTGTTTGAAATTAAAGGTGAGTACTAAGGGAACGTCTGTATTCCAGCCAGAGGGATTAAAGGTGTGTGCTAAGGGCCGAGCCAAACCCTAACTAGAAACGTGGGTTCAAATATCCTGTAATATTTTAAGGCAATGCTATTTGGATAAGGCTTAAGTCAGACCCAGCCAGAGCATTTGGTGTTCAGGCCCCTGCTTCTAGAACATTGTAGAATTGGTTCAGCCTATAGGAAAATGTCTAGGGTAAATGAAATCCACAGTACAAAATAAAATGTATAGGATGAACTTACTTTGTAATGAATATCTGTGTTTTCCAAATATATGGAAGACAAATTCAGAACTATGCTGTGCTCTGAGTAGTGGCAATGTGTGTTAGTTGAGATGACAGTTGAACCTTTATATCTTCTGTCCGAATTTGGTACAGTGACCCTTGTCCCCCATTCTCCTCTTTGTCCCCTTATTTTTCCAAGAGTCATTTTGCTCTTGCATGTTGGAAGTCAGGCTCTAGGCCCAGCTGTTCTGGCTTGCATTTGGCCACCTGCAGAGTCAACAGAAACGTAATGAAGATGGCAGGCAAGGGGAGAATTTAGTGTGCAGTCTCTATGAGGCTAATGCTCTTTCTCCTTCTTCCAGGTTGGGAACAGGCTATTGTAGCAAGCGCCGTAGCATGGTATGTAGCTGGTAGCTGGTCGGTCTATTTCTGTCTGATCCACTAACCTTTCTAGTTTAAAATGTAGTCTTTGTCTCTTCTAATGAAGTTAGCTTTCACTGTAAAGCTTTCTTGGGATCTGCTAACTCACTTTGGCCAGCGAGTGGGAAGGGGGAGAGTGCTCCAGTGAAGCACAGTCAGTTTCGGGTTTACTGTCTGCTTTTCATCTCGGTCATCATTTTAGAATATACTACTTACTGTCTGTGTGCGTGCGTGTGCGAGCGTGGGTGTGTGTGTGCTCGCGCACTTTCATTTTAATTATAAAAGAAATTTCAATTCTTCCTTTAGCTTTTTCTAACACGTTACCTGGAACAAAACCTTATTAGTCAAAGTAGCAACATGGTGGACTAAGTTTTATTCCTGTCTTTTTACCTTTTCCAGCTTTTACCAACTTCCCAATTAAAGAGTGACGTCGCTGCATGAACCTATCCTATTAAAAATGTCCTTGCCACTTACAGAGGAGCAGAGGAAAAAGATTGAAGAGAATCGGCAAAAGGCTTTGGCCCGTCGAGCTGAGAAGTTGTCAGCAGAACAGCCAGAGAGCACAGCTTCAGGCTCCTCTGCCGATGGCCCGTCCCAGTCCAGGCAGGGCTCGCTCCTGAATCTCCTAGCAGAGCCTTCAAGGCCAGCAGGCCATGCTGCCATTTTCAAGCAACAGAATCTCAATAGTTCATGTCCTAGTCCTCTAGAAGTCTCGAACCAACAGCCTTTGGGTTATAAATCCAGCGTTGGCCTTCCGCAGACAACCCAGGACACAGCAGCTTCCTCTTCTGGACCAGTTCCCACGGATCCCGAGTTAGAGGCCACAGCAGCGAGGCCTTCCACGTCTGGGCAGAGCATTTCAGACACTTTTTATGCCTTAGGGGGAAAAACACCTAGGACAGAAGAGAGACCCCCAAAGGCACTACAGACCTCACCCCAAAAAGCAAGCTGTCTACGGGGAACATGCGTGAGGACTGGGGATCGCTTCCGGGTAAAGATCGGCTACAACCAAGAGCTCATTGCTGTGTTTAAGTCTCTGCCCAGCAGACACTATGGTAATGAGGCTTTTTCTTTTTTCTATTTTTGGACTCTCTTCTGACAGTCCCTCATAAATATTAAGAAGGCACATTGGCACATTACATTTTTCTATTTTAGCTTGGCTTCTCCCTTTGTAATAGACACTGCCTCAAGCAGCTGTTAAACTTAGCTAGTACTCGGCCATAGAGAGAACTTTCCAGTGTTGATTGAGGAGCCTGCCAGTTCCTCTGCCAGGTGCTTTATATGTATTATATAACATTAGAGCCTAAAAACAGTAGTTTGAAATCCAAAGACTTTTTTTTTTCTTTTCTTTCAGTTTTAAAGTGCTGAGCCGGCTCAGTAACGATGAGCTTGGGTTAGTTGATCTGAAGGGAGTGCTGGGTGTGGCTAGTTTTGCTGGTCCTCAGAGCTGCTCACACCTTTGCCGGACTACAAGCAATTCAGAGGATTTGGGTTCCAGTCCTAGCTGCCTCAGCCCACTTAGTTAAATGACTTCTGTGGGCCTGCACTACCATTATGTGAAACAAAAGAATTACCGGTGTTGGCTATTTGTCTCCTGTAGAGATTTTTTTTTTTTAAGCCTGTGAGAATCTGCCAGTCAGTGCTTTGAATTTGGCCTCTGGTTGTCCAGGAAATAAGTTCTTAGAGAGTGTCAGACTACAAATGAAGACAAAACGTGATCAGCCTTCTGTTTATTTCAGATCCTTTTACGAAGACGTGGAACTTCAGCATGAGTGACTACAGAGCCTTGAGTAAGTGGACACATTCTTTCACCTGCAGCGAAAAGTTAGCATGAGCTGGTGCCTAGTGCCTACTGGGGATCTCTCTTAACTCATACAACAACTATTTTACGAATGGGGAAATGAAGTCTCAAATGAGTAACTAGTACAGAGACACACGGCTAATTAGTTATTCAAGTGCAATTCAAACCAGAGTGCCTGTTTCCCCTGGGCTGTGGCAGATCCAGCAGGGACTGATAGCTGTGTCAGGCCTTGCTTCCTAGGGAGATGGCTGTTTAACATCTGACCCTGGCTAGTGAACCCCCAAGTTCAGGGGGGCACATTGCTCAGTCAGGTGCATCCATCCAGTCCTTATCAGTACCCCATTGTCTGAGTCTGTCCTGTGTCAGTGTTTCTGTCCCCTTGTCCTGGTTGTGATCTTGTTTCCCTTTCTCCTGGCTTGTTCCCAGCCGCTGTGTCTACACCAGTTCTACTCCCTCCGCCCATTTCAGAGGGTGCATGCTCGGATCACTTCTCAGAGGATCTGACACATGATATAGAATTCTTTGGGTTCACCAGGACATTTTCTGGGGCATGATGGGCCAGTTTCTGCACACTTTACTTGTTCTTTCCTTGGTCTCGTCTTTGTAAATGTGTGACTAGGTGGTATCCTGCACATTGATAGGTTGCTGTGACACAAACTGGACCTTAAGCAACAGAAACGTATTTGCATAGTTCTAAAGGAAAGAAATCTGAGGCCAAGGTGTGTGCAGGCCTCGTTTCCCCTGTGGCCTTTGTCCTTGACTTGCTGGTAGTCATCCTCTGTCCATGTCAGGGTTCTCAACCTTCCTGACGCTGTGACCCTTTAACAGCTCCTCATGTGTGGTGACCCCTAACCATAGAATTACTTTCGTTTCTACTTCATAACTGTAATTTTGCTACTGTTATGGATCATGAATATCTGTTATTTCCAATAGTCTTAGGTGATTCTTGTGAAAGGATTGTTTGGGGATCATGACCTATAGATTGAGAACTTCTGGTTCATATCTTCATAGCCTCCCAGCATTCAAGTTTCATCTTGTCTGTATTTGCTTCTCTCTGTCTCTGTCTCTCTCTCCCCCAACCTCTCTCTCTCTCCCTCTGTTTTCTTCCCTCCCTCCATCCCTTACTCCCGTACTGTCTCTATCCCCACCTCCCTATCCCTCTACCCGCCCCTCCCTCCACCGGTCATTGTTAAGGATTGTTAAGGGCTACCCAAGTGATCTTATTTAACTTGAAAAGCTCTGTCTTGGGGTCTTATTCTGAGGTACTGGAACTTATGACTTTCAGACAGGACGTTGAGGGGGCCGTAGTTCAGCCCGTGACAGCTATGGTGGTGAGCTTTTCTTTAATGCAGTCATTGCATATTAGAAGAGGCTGTAAGTGCCAGGTTAAGATTCCAGGTTTGACACCTGACACATGGTATTGATTTCCACTGGGCAGTTTTGTTGGCTATGCTGTCTTTTGATCTTGTTTGTGACCGTGGTGCTTTGTGACTTGGATGACTTTTTTGAGTTTATGTAGGGTTTTTTGGCATGATTACTTTTTTTGTACTGCTGCACCTACTTGTGTTAAGCACAGCAGTTTCCATGTGACTTTTAAAATGAGGTTGACTGGAGTGTGGACCCTCGATATACCCTGAATTCCCCTGCAGCAACTTCAGATTTATAAATTGCTTTTCTGTTTTTAAGTTTCACACAGGTTTATCATTGTTTGTTTGTTTGTTTGTTTTTCGAGACAGGGTTTCTCTGTGTAGACCTGGCTGTCCTGGAACTCACTCTGAAGACCAGGCTGGCCTCGAACTCAGAAATCTGCCTGCCTCTGCCTCCCAAGTGCTGGGATTAAAGGCATGAGCCACCACTGACCAGCAGGTTTATCATTTTTGTGCCTTTTTATACTTTTTATCTTAGATTATGCTTTTGGGGGTTTTTGCTTGTGTTTTGGTTTTTTGAGACAGGGTTTCTCTGTGTGGCTGTCTTGAAACTCATTCTGTAGACCAGGCTGGTCTGGAGATCTGCCTCCATTGTGTCTGGAGTGGCCTGCAAGGATTAAAGGCATGTGCCACCACGATACCATGCCACCATACCATGCCACCACCATACCATGCCGCCACTGCTTGCCTTTTTTGTTTTTGCTTGTTTTTAAGTGTTGGGGATTAAACTCAAACTCTGTGCATGGTGAGCAGCTCCTTGATCACCAGCTGGCATCCTTTGGTCCTTGATAGCATCCTCTCGTATCACTGTTGTCCTGACAGTTCTGGCCTTAAATGTGTCTGGATTCTGTATTTCCCCCTCCTTTTCTTTTCCTACAGTGCTGGGACTGAATCGAGGACCTCAGGTGAGCTCGGTCAGCACTCCAGTCTGAGCTACATCCCTAACCTGGATTTTGGTTTTTTTAACCCTACCTTGCACTTAGCACGCAATTCACAGAGTGTATTAATGCCAAAAGAAGGGATATTAGATCCACAGTCTCTGGACTCAGCCACTGCAGGCACTTTGTCCCCTTCTTTTCTCTGTTACTAAGTAAAATAGTGTTACATTTATATATAATTTGCACCCTGCCTTTCTCATAAACATTCCTATTTCAGTGACAGCTAGCAGTTCTGTGTGATGAGTGTATGGGTGTCCTTCTCATAATGGATCATCATGAGCCTCAAGTATTTTGTATTATTGAATATAGTAAACTTTATACTGTCTTTTCCAAAATTTCTTACAGAAAAAATTAGTAATTGTATAACATTGTATTGTATGAATGTAGCAGAGTTGCCTAAGTCATTTTCTTGCTGTTTAATTTGCTTCCCATTTCCTAGTTTTGCATCCATAAGGAAGCTCCTCTATGCACAGGTTTATGTCTGTATTTTTAGTTCTGGGGAGTAGCATCATGATGATCACCTCTTAAAACTCATGCCTGTCTATCCAGTTTTCCAAAAAGGTCTTAGTCTCAGCTAGTACTGTGAATGTCTGTCTGGATTTTATTGTTTTGTTTTCTTTTTTTTAAATCTTGCAACATTAATATGTAAAAAAATGGCTTTTCATTCCTTTGGTTATTTGTAAAGTTGAATATTTCTGTTTTCTAGTCACTTTTTTTCCTGCCTCAGATTGGCTGCGTCTCCATCCTTTCGCTTTGTCTTCTTCCTGTGTAAGTTCTCTGTACGCATCTTGTCTTAGCAGTCTCTCCTTTCAAGTGCTAGTCGTTGTTTCTATCAGTTTAGTTGTATGTTGTCACGTCCGTGAGGCACTTCAGTGGTAGGTGGTAGTGACAGCCTGTTGGTTCTGTTTCTCATCTTGTGTCTAAGCAGTTGCTAGAGTATCTATGCATAGGGTCGCATGGGTGCTTTGTGGTGTGTTGACTTCAGCAGATTCTCAAGCAGAACAGAGATTACTTAAAACATGTAACCTTCATCACAAGCTACACCGTCCTGTTAATTTCTAATATCTGTTTTTCTAATTTAAAAAACTTAAGAAACAGAAAAATTGCTCACATGCTCTCTGTCTGTCTCTCTGTATGTCTTTGTCTCTCTGTCTCTCTTCCTCTTCCTCCCTCTCCCTCTCCAACTCCCCATCAAGGGTCTTGCTATGTTGCCCAGGCTAGCATCCAACTCCTGGGCCCTTTGGCCTTCTGAGTCCAGATCTATATTGCTGTGCCCAGGACACTTGATAAATATGAAAATGCTCAAAGCCTCAGTTAAAGGATGCTCATAAGACTTCCTAATCTACCTCATGGTCTTGAGTTCCCTGCCCTGCATTCTGTCTGGCCTTTCTGAATGTCCTGGCTCAGGTGAAAGTCGTCCAGTCTCATGCACCTTATCATGTCCATCCTTTTTTCCTCTTCACAGTGAAGGCAGTCGAGCGACTCTCCACGGTCTCCCTGCAGCCATTGGAAGATGTTGATGTCAGCGTCAGGGGACAGACCAGTCTTCCCTCAGCTCCATCCCTTACGTTTGTCTCAGGGAGATGCATGCTCATCTCCCGATCTCGCTTCGAGGTTGACATCAGCTATTCTGAGGTGCTGATTTCCCTGTTTAAACAGATGGAATCCAGGAATTACGGCAAGTGACTGATCTCTGTGCGGTCTGTGATGTCAGCATTATTTGTCTCCATCTTTGACTGTTCAGACTGACTTTCCTGATAGAGATATAGCTATGTCTACAGGACACTAACACCTCAGTTGTCACAGAGAGTGAATGAGTAGTAGCAGCTGCTTTATCTCTAAGCTTCCCAAAGAGAACATCCTACAGTGTTCTTAATCACCTGGTCAGCACTGTCTTGACAAATGCAGGTGCATTACTGCTTGGGCTTTAGAGATACTTTGCTTCTATTTTAGCCTTAGAAGAGCAGTAAAACAGAAGATGCCCTACAAAGTAATGCCTTTCTGTACCCCAAGACAGTGGTATCAAACTAGGGTGTTCAGAGGAGGCTGATTGTTAATGCTGTAGCTTTGAGATGGTGGGGACCAGGGAGATCTTGTGTTTCTAATAAGTTTCCTGGTGAGGGCTGTGGTACCAACCTCAGAACCACCACATCCATCATGAAAGCTTGCTAGAGGTTCATGAAGTTGGAACACAAATGAGCAAGCTTTTCTCTTCTCATTGCAGATATCAAGACCAGGAAGTGGAACTTTCTCTTGGAAGAGCACAATAAACTAAGTGAGAAGCTCACCTTTCTGCTTTCCTATCATGCTGTTACCTTGAGTAGTAGCTTTAGCTTTAAAATGACTCTGAAGAGAGGTTTCTCCTCTCTGCTTCGGTAATATTGGTACCCTCATGCTTGAGGGCAGAGCAGCTGAATGAACCTGTTCAAGCCTGCTAGTCCCAGCAGCTTTGTAAAAACCATTCAGACAGAGGGCTCTTCATCCATAAGGGCAGGGTGGTGCTGTTGTAATTCTCAGGGCCTGAAAGCCTTCCTGTCATCATAGACAGTTAAAGAGAAGGATATAGACTTGGTAAATCAGAGGAGTGTCAGGATCACACAACTGCAATGGAAGTTCCTTGAGATAGCCTCTCAGTTTATGTCCAGCACCAAGTGACCTAGAAAGTAGGAGAGTGTTCTGGTTGGAGGTTGCATCATGGGCTGCATCCTTCAAATGCAGAAGGCAAAACATGATAGGTGAAGAATTTTAACAGGACTTAGAGTCTGACCAAGGCTATGGATGTGTGCTCAGCTACCATGACCACAAAAGGGAGACACCTGGTTCACTTAGCTTATCATTTTTGGTCCTTGTACTCTTCTTAGGTGGACTAAAATTCTAAGTGCCCCTGAGAAAGGTGGTTGTGGTCATAGCTCAGCCTGCTTCGGAACACTACTCTCCTCTAATTTAAAGCAGTAGTGATTTTTTACAGTTGTGCTCCCCCTACCTAGTGCCCTGTAGACTTACTGGTCAGCCCAGGTCGTGGCAGGAGCTGTGTGTTGGTGCCCGTCACAGCAGGGAGCTGGCCAGCCTTGGGAGTGAGGAGCCAGTAGGTACTTGTCCATCAGGCTAGGGCTTTACGACAGAGCTGGGTTGCTTTCCATCCTGTGTCTTCTGACTTACTGTGCAATATCAGCTATTGGGTAGATAACTAACTGTTTGTGGCACACTTGTCCTTTTAGTAAGAAGGGTTGGTCGTCTTTGGGCTAGAGATGATAGGGTGTTTGTTTGCCTGGCATGCCTAAGGCCTGCATTTGATCCAGGGGTAAGGCGGGATGTGCCTGTTATCCTAATACTCAGGAGATGGAGGCAGGGGAACCAGAAGTTCAAGGTCATTCTTGGCTATCTAGCAAGTTTGAGGTCAGTTTGGGCTACCTAAGACCCTATTTAAATCTCTATCTGCCTCACTGGCAGAATTAAATACAAAGGAAAAGCTTTTTGTTCCTCAAGCAAGGCCTTGCTGTAAACTGTAAAGTTAAGTTGACTATGAGGTGGTGCTATTTGGTATCTTTTAAAAACTGGCTGAAGCAGGAAGACTGGCCAGTGTAGATTAGTTCTCTGGCTGCTGTTTTTCAAAGGGAACTGTTTGGCCTAACTTGAATTTTTGATGTGAGATGAGAATCAGTTCTTTCTTCTCACTGTAGTGCTGCCTTTCTTGACCAGGAGAGATAAATACATGAGCAATAAGAAGCTCTGCCTTTTGTGGACCAAGAATGCAGGATACATAGTATTAGCAGGTGTACACAATGCTGGGAAACCAGGAGTCCAGGCCCAGCCTTCCACGGTAATTCCTGGTTTCTTTTGGAGACTATAGACCTTAGTCTAGTGAGCACAGTGAGTTCTTCATGCAGAGAGATGCACACAGTAGGCATACTTATAGAGTCTGTAGGAGACGTTAGTAATTCCCTGGGTCCAGAGTCAGCAATTCTAGGTTTAGAATTTTTATAGACCTTTCCTGGTTACATTGTCTCAGCAAGGAAACCGTTGCTTTCCTTCCTGGGGACGTTTGGGGGCCACAGTGAAGTCAGTGGTGACAGAATACGATTTAAACCCCTGCTGCATCTGGAACCTGACCCATTAAGAAATTATGAAGCCAGCTCTAAGCACTGAGAGGCCAGAGAGTGCCCTGCTGAAGAGAGCCTGGTTCCCACCGTGGTTCAGACTCCACTAGTACCACAGACCTAGGGAATCTGCTCCTTTTTTTTGACCTGGAGGTCCCCTTCCTCATGTCTGAAGTCAGGTTATTGACCTCAAACCAGTTGAGCGCATGCGTCTAAAGCTACCTAAGAAATGGCAGTGAGGCCTGAACATGTCATCAAAGACGTGATAAGAGTCATCTCCTCTAGGAAAGAGCCTCTCAGGGATTTCTCTTCCCACATGACTGGAGGCCTTCTGCCCACAGTGAAATTGGCATGAGGCCTTTTGTTTTCCCTGGCTGTCACAGTCCAGAAGGGTTCTCCGTGATCCTGTCTTGTCAGCTGCTGTTTGAAAACACTAGCATCTCTCAGCTGTGGGGCTAGCGCATTCTGGCAGAGAGCTTTTTGTAGAAATGACTTCTGTATGACTCATGAAGCCAGACAGCACAAGCCTGTCATCTGCCAGTGCCAAGGAATGGACACTAGACAGCACTGAGGAGGAAGGGTGGGATTCTCAGAAGCACCCAGTGAGCTGAGCTGCCAACACAAGCCTTTGGAGACAGAGCTGCAGGAGACAGTGGCTTTGGGTTCTTCCCTTCAAGTGGTTGAGAGAGTGTGGTGCTTACAGAGGCCGCACTCCAGCTGCTTGCAGCTTCTTCCTCCAGGCGTGCCATTTCTGAAGATTGCTACAATTGTGAGGAGAATGGCTTCTGCCAAGTACACTGAGTGCTTAGTCTCCTGGAGCTTGTAGAAATTAGCAATTGAGATTTCATTTAAGATAGAAAGTGGATTTCTACTTCAGTATGGAACAGCCTACTTTAGTAAAGCCATCAGCCTTATCTATTTCCTGTTAATTTTGTTCATGGAAACTTTGCAGAAACATCGTGTGTGTGTGTGTGTGTGTGTGTGTGTGTGTGTGTGTGTGTACATATATACATGAGTGTATATATGTATGTATATTTGTATTATATGTATTGTGTGTTTTGGTGGAGAGGGCATAAACATACACATGTGCCATAGCACAGGACATACATGTGATCAGAGGACAAACTGGTTGTGAGTCAGACATTTCTGCCATGTGGGTTCCAGGGATTGGATACAGGTTTCCAGGCATGGTGGCCTGCACCTCTACCTGCTGATCCATCTCCCTAGCACCTGATACTCATATGTAGTGAAGGGCAAAAATGAATTTAAATAAACTGAAAATACCAGGCAGCAGAAGATAGCAGCAGATGGCACAACCATCTAGGGGCACGTCAGTGTGCACCCTGGTAGTCAACTGGGAGTGGTATTCCATAGCTTTTGGAATACCTTTTGAGTATTAAAGAACAGCTGATCGTGACTGCCTCAATGTTAAAGAGAACCATAATTTTACCAGTAAAAAAAAAAAAAAAGCAGTTATACTGGGCTAGATAATGCTTTAGACCTTTGGACCATGTAGCCCTAATCTGAGCTACTCTACACTGCCATTGTAGAAGAATAGCAGTGGACAATCCATAATCAATGACATGGGTATGTTGTTATTTAAAAAATTATATATATATATATATATACACACACACACACACACACACACACACACACCCAAAACACTAGAACAGAAAGCAAGCTGAGCAAGCCACAGGCCTTTACTCACTTACTCCTGCTGTATAGACTAGGTCATGAGCAGTCACCTTTGGAGTAATGGGTACTTTGTATTTTCTTTTATTTGTATATATGTACAGGCATGCAGGTGCCATGGCATGTGTGTGTAGGTCAGGGACAAACTTCAGGTGTCCCCATTTTCTGTCTTTGATATGGCGTCTCCTTGCGTTTTTCTGCTGCATACATAAAGGTCCGGGAGCTCCTGGAGATTCTCCTGTGTTTGCCTCCTGTCTCCCTGGAGGAGCTCTGGGATCACACACTTGTGCTATGTGGCTGGCTTTTAGAGAGGTTCTGAGTATTCAAGCTCTGGTTCCGACATTTGCACAGCAAGTTCTTTTACTCACTGAGCCTTCTCTTTGCTTGTGCAAGCATGCATGCACACACGCACACATGCACGCACGCACCTGTTCCCCGGGACAGATACTTTACCTGCTTCACTAGAAATGGCAGCTAAAACACCTTCTCAGGGGGAGATATTACTTTCATATGAAACAAGATTGGAAGTATGTGTTTTTCTTGGTCTATGACCTGTGTGTGGACTCTGCTTTCTGACCTGGCTTGTTGGTAGCACTACTGTCTACCAATCTAACTGGGAGCACCTAGGGAGTCCTCTGTGAAGAGCACGGTGTTTCTTCGGCCTGTCAACAGAAGGAGGTGACTTAAGAGTTCTCTCTTCCCCTAAACATTGAAGCCATCAGAATGAAACTAAGACTAGAATCATTGTTTTGAAGACTTGCTTTTTGGGGCTCTTTCTGAGCTGATTTTTAATCGTATGCTATTTTAATAGATATGGATATTTGAACTAAGTTATAATGAAAAAAAATTAGGTTGAAAAAAAATCTTTAGCATGGAACAGCTCTTTCCAGTCTTGTGTAGTCTGCCAAACCACTTTTCTGTTACTGAGTGCCCCTCATATCTGTAGGAATTAAGGACTAGAAAGAGGGAACACTGGCTCTTGTCTGTTGCACTACTCAGCTAGCAGAATGTTCTGCATTTAACCCCTTTAATAAGATCGCGTGTAGCAGAATGCCTCTTACTCTCTCCTTTTCCTCTCTCCTTTTCCAGGTCTTTTGGACTTGAGCGTTCTTGCTCATGCACCCCTGTTTTTTCTTTCCAGTTGCAAGGTCACGTGAACTCAAGCAAGTACAACTGGACCCACTGCCCAAGACAGTGACCCTGGCGTTTGCATCTCAACTGGAGAAAACATCTCTCAAACTGAAAGAAGACGTGCCAGAAGCTGACCTTTCCGGAGTGGATGCCAAGCTTGTGTCTAACCTCATGCCCTTTCAGAGGGAGGGAGTTAGGTAGATTCCTGATCTTCCTCTTGTTCTCTCTCACTTGACCTCTCTTAGCACAGCTGGAGTTTGAATGGTCTATGAATACCTTGCATGCATGTCTGAAACATGTAGGCATTAGCAGCCAGATGTGTTGTCACCAAAGCCCATTGTTACCATGGATGTCAGAGTCCATGAGTTAGCCAGGACTTCAGCTTGCATGGATACAGAAATCCAGTTCACATCAGCTGAAGGAAAGAGGTTTCTGAGTTTAGGAATAGAAGACCCAGCGTTTCCCAATAAACCCTCTGCTTTCTTCTTAGCTTACACCTCAGCTCATCTCAGGTGCTCTGTTCAGGGGCTTGTGGCTGGTGTCCCATGGTTTGGCAACACAGACTAAGTGCTGTTTTTGTGCTGTAGAAAGGGGAGCTGCTTCTTGTGGCTGCTGAGAGGACAAGGCTACCCATTGGCCCATGGGCTGCTGGTCCTTGGTGTGCTGGCCTCTGGTCCCCAGGGAGCTGCTTACTTGGTGCATCTTGGGAAATCGTTACCAGAAAGGCCAGGGGCAGCTGAAGTCCTTATAGAACCCCTAAGAAGATTGCTCTCTTCCTTTTTTGCTGTCTAAGAAGGACAGAAAAAGAACTATTCACCAGCTCATCACTAGGTTTCTGAGCCAGCAACAGCTTTCCACAAATTAGAGAGGACTGGGGTTTGGAGCAGGGGCCCAGATGTCTGGTGCGCAGTCTTCGTAGTTTCTCAGCTCTTCTCCACTGCCTCTGCTCTCGTTACTTCCCTCCCTTTGGTGAGATGATGGTCATACAGTTTAGAAGATTGAAGTGCTTTGTCTCCTGCTTCTCCCATTCTCCGGGGCAGGTAACATTTACTCCAGCCTCACAGTCTCACTTGGGGGTGCGTCAGAAGGCAAAGCTCCTGAATGGGAGTTGAGATTCCAATCCAGGCCTATCTGGCTCCAAAGCAGTAGACTTCACCTTTATCTACAGACTACTAGCAAGGCCCAGTACACTTAAGTGCTTCAGGTGTGCGTAGGCTGCCAGACTTTGCTAAAACAAAGCCAAATTCTCATTCTCTCCCCATTCATCCTTTTTGCCAGTAGTTTCAGTCACTGCTGGCTCCGCCCTGCTCCTTAGCATGTAGCGTGGTCTTCAGATGCCGTGTTTCTAACTCCACAGACTCTTCTGTCCGTCCTGGGCACGTTTCTCAGTGGAGATGAAACCCTTGGATGTGCCTGTTGCATCATGGGCTCCCTGCTCCCGTGTGCTCCTGTGCTCGGGTCAGGCTGAGTTTTCCCACTGCAGTTTCACTCTTGTGTCTGTTGTCCTCCCCATCCTCCACCAGTGGACTTCACTCTGCATTGTTCCTGTCCACCTCCCTTCCCCTCTAACTCTGTTCCCTAAAGGACTCCTGCCCTATCCTTTCTGGGAAAAGTCTTGCTGTGAGCAGGACCCATTCTGGGCAGTGTTACAGCCAGCATAGAGGGGTTCCTCAGCTCTAAGGGGTGGCAGGTTAACTAAGATGGACAGGATGGCCCTGTGCAGTGTGGTACCCACCTTACCCTGTCTATCTGTCTGCAGCTATGCCATATCAAAAAGAGGCCGGCTGCTGCTTGCCGATGACATGGGCCTAGGGAAGACCATCCAAGCCATCTGCATAGCAGCTTTTTATCGAAAGGAATGGCCACTGCTGGTGGTCGTGCCTTCCTCTGTGCGCTTCACCTGGGAGCAGGTTAGTTCTCTTTGCACCAGAATCATTGGGAAAGGGCTTCCTTAGGGTTAGAGGATCAAAACAATAATGTCAAGGCAAACCCTGGGATCTTTAAAAGTTTAGATGTGGGTCAAAGACCCGCAGAAAAATAAGCTGGTCCCTGAGGACAGGAAATCATGTTATCCCCACAGGGAGAAAAGCCAAGCAGTTGCTAGCTTAGGGACCTCTTGCCAGTCCCTCAGCAGATACCGTACCACTGCGCTGTTGTAAATAAGACCTTCTATCTACCCTGCACCAGATTTCTACAATGTCTCTATTTCCTTTGTCTCTCCAAATTCTGTGACACAATGACCCACTTTTCAGATAAATAAATGCAAGTTTCAAGGTCAAGAGCTTTGCCTCCTAAGGAGACAGCTTCCTGACTTCTGCTCAGTGTTTTGTTTGCCCCAGGGTGGTGTGCATAGTATGTTTGGACTACCTAATAGATGGAGGCCTGATGTGAACGTTGAAGAATTAAATCCCTTTAAGCAAATCCAGTGAAGGAAGGCCCAGCTAGCTCATTTCCAAAGCTTACGGCTTTATGCTGCTGGTGTGGTGCTAGGTTCTTCACAGACTGAGCTCTTCCTAAGCTACCAGAGTCACAGTGCAGAACATGCACCTCAGCCTGCTGCTGGCGAGGTCTGGATCCTGCCACTACGTGTAGAAAGTGTCATTATGTATCTGTAGGGGCCAGATTCCCTCAGCAAGTCCAGAAAGAGTCAGGTTGCAGCTTATGACAAGAGAAGTGATGTCAGGACATAGCAAGTCAAGCAATGGGGGCTGGGGGGCCACCTAAGTGCTGGGGCTTCCGTGTGGAGACCCAGTGGCCTTCCTAGGGCTCCTGGATACCTGGTTTATCTAATGATCCACTGTGGGGGACAGCGAGTGGCTTTGAAGAAAACATTGACATAAATGTTTTCATTGTGCTCAGTAAACCCAAGTTTTCTTGAAAGGACTACATTCTTCCCCAACTAGAACATTTAGAGATCACAGAGTGGAAACCACAGGCGTGGGAAGTATCTGCTCCTGGGAGAGAGTCCTGTCAGTGTCTAGGTGGGCTAGAGGCAGGTAGAGGAAACCAGAGTGTGCCAGATGCAGGAGGATGTGGAAAGGGACGTGTCTTCAGGGAATGTTAAACTTGCCCAGATCCCAACCCCCAGTACTGTTGATGTGTTGACTGGAATCACTGCTTTGTTTAACTATACTGTCCACTCCCCTGCAGGCCTTTCTTCGGTGGCTTCCATCTCTTAGCCCAGAGAATATCAACGTGGTGCTGACTGGGAAGGGCCGCCTAACAGCTGGTTTGGTCAACATTGTTAGTTTTGACCTTCTTTGCAAGTTGGAGAGGCAGCTAAAAACCCCTTTCAAAGTCGTCATTATTGTAAGTAATGGCAGAGCCCTGAAGTACTCTAAAGAGCTCCACAAATTTGGGAATTTGTGGCCTCCTTGATCCTCTCTGGGTTTTGGGGAAAAAGGGTGTTAGAAATTCCTGCCCTCCTTTTATAGAGAATGATTTTTTCATACCCTTCCTGAAGCAGCTCTTATGCCTATATACCAGAGTTTCCTGAGATGCATTTTAAACAGGTGGGACAAGTCTGTTCAAAGGTTTCTAATCCACCCCTCCTGTATTAGGAGGCTGGGGTGGAGGCTAGCATGTGTACACCAGGCCATTCTGGGTCCCAGGGACTAGAGCTGTGTCAGGAACAGTGTGTGCCTGCGTTGGTAACGCCTTGTCAATGCGGCTGAACCATACCAGTCAGCAGTCAGTGATTCTCTTCCAGCTGGTGTGAAGGCTCGTCCCATCCCTGCTAAAAGGAAATCAGTTTTTACTTGAGTTCTTCTTAAAGATGATGTCACCTGCCTCCAGATCTGAAGGTGCTGCTTTTCACTGGCTTTCCTTTGCATCTTCACACACTTCATGAGCATCTGGGGAGACATGGTGGACAGCCAGCTGTCAGTGCAGAATACATAGACATGGTTCCAAATACAAACGCGGCAGGAGCTCGGAACAGGGAAGGAGAAAACATTGTTGTATTCCCCAGGAAATGTTTAGTGTGTTCTGGACATGAGGACCACCCTGTGTTCTTAGTGTGTGCAAACGAGAACACATAATTTATCAAAGCTATTTTGGTAATCTGAGTCTGTGAGGAAGTCATGTTGGGCTGGCACAAATTCAAGTATGGTTTTGAAAGTATGCCAACATTCCAGTGAAATGAAATAGTAAAAGAAGTACCCCAGGATGATCATGATGGCTCTGGGATGTGGGGACAGTGATGGCTGCCTTTCCTGACCAGGCCCTTGTATTAGGTGTTCCACATATAGCCACTACTCTAACCTTTGTTCCCAAGCAGCACTGCCTTTAATTCACTTGAACTGACAGTGTAGGCACATCCATCCACAGTCACAGAGCAAGCACAGTGGAGAACCACTGGCTGAAACTTTGTGGCCTCAGAATTTATATGTTTCTGTTCCTGGCTCATCACTAAAGAAGCCTTGTGATTGAGGGCAAGTTGCTTGCCACTAGTGTTGTTTTGTCCTCAGATGAAGCAAACAAACCACCTGCCATCTTCTGGCTTCACTGCAGCAAGGGACAAAGGGACAGCTCTGAGAAGCACATGCTTTGGATGAGGCTTCTTGTCTTCAGCCTCTCTTGTGGTTTGTTCTGACAGCGGTACCTTTTACCCGTGCTTAAAAGGGCCAATTCCCTTTCATGCCTGACACATTTTCTGCAATTTCTTTCTATAAATGGCTTTCTCATGACTTTCATGAAGATTTATCGTGAATCAGGATCATGAATGTAGTATCCTAGGCATCTGGGAGATGCCATCTTGACAGCTGGGGGCAGGTCACCTCACACTCTGTCCATTGTGTCGTTGAAGCCTCCCCCAACCCCCCGCCACTTTTTAATCATAGCTGAAGTGGAGCAAGTTGGAAGCTTGTAGATTCTTCCAGGGACAGAGGTAAGATGACTAGTAGCCCCTGGTACAGGGAATATGCATTAGGTGGCAGGAGAGCTTTGAGGGCTGCCCCTGTGTTAGCTTATTTCAGACACAGCAAGCTGATATATCCATTCTTTCTGATAGCATTGTATCTGTTTTATAGGTAGAGAAGCTGGTATCATAGAGAGGTCAGTTAGTGGCTCAGAGTCAATAGCAACCATTTGGAGTGTACCAACCTAAGATTTTTCCCTCCTGGGAAGGTATATGTTCATGGTTCCTTTGTCTTTGGAAAATATGGCAAATTTTGTGTTTGTTTGTTTGTTTATATAATGTACAACTATAAATCCATCAAATGCTATATTTTCAGCACAACAGTCCCCCAGAGGACAGGAGTTGGTCAGTTTTTCATTTCTCAGTTCCCACAGTGCTTTGTGTGCCTTGCTGTGGTGGCATAACTGTCTGGTCTGCTGCCAGTGTGTCTGCTGCCAGTGTGTCTGCAAAAGTGGAGGGCAGTGCAGACCTCAGAACTTGACACCAGTTGAGAGCATGTCGAGGGTCTTCAACACACCTGACTAATGCCAGGCAGTTGTGAGGTGTGTCCCACATGGTGGCAAGTCACCTCTCAGGGTTCTGTCCACCTACATACCCAGTGGGCAGATTGGGGCAAATATTCACTAACCCCCTTTCCAGGTGGAAAACTGCCCTAGAGAAAGAGACAGTATCTTACCAGTGTATAATAAAGAAGCTGCCCAAGTCTGGGTCCTTCCCTAGTGTACTACTGCTTCATCTCCTTAAATGGCAATGGTTCAAGTGAGGCGTTCTCATGGCAAATATCAAGCTAGACTCAAGTCAGGTGGGTTGTCGTGGATCAAGGACTGCCTCTGTTCACCCACATGGTTATTTGTTGCAGGATGAATCACACTTCCTCAAAAACATTAAGACTGCCCGCTGCCGAGCAGCTGTGCCTATACTAAAGGTAAGTGTGGCCGAGAGGAGAGTTAGCACCTTAACATACTTGGTCAGGCACGGGGGGTATGCAGGCCAAACAGATGCAGCCAGGCCACTGGGCTATGGGTGGGATGCAGTGTTGACACTGGATCTCTCCTATTGAGGGTCCCAGACTCAGATGGGAAGAGACCCCGAGTCTTCTCCTTGGCTTCCTGCCAGCACAAGAAGCTTGTGACAGTGTGTCACTAAATAGCTCAGGAGAAACTGCATCTCTTGCAGTGGCAAAGCTGTCAAGACGTGATGTGTTATCTAAGGGCAGAACCAGGCCAGGGCTATGGGTGTCAGAGAATAACCTCAGGCAAAGCCGAGGCTTGCCTGGTAAGCTGATTGATCCTTTTTACACTGGCCAGGACCTGTGGTTAACTAGAAGGCCAGCTGTGTACTCTTCCATCATGTTGTCAGGTCTGTACCTGCCCTGAACACATGGGCTGCCATGTGTTCACCTGCAAAGCAGGTGGCTGTGGGACTGCAGAGCAGGGTCAAGTCTTTCTCCGTACACTTTCTGATGCAGTTCTGTCCTTGTCTTGTCCTGTGTTCTGTACCTCACTCTTCAGAGATAAGTCCCAAAGGTTAGGAAGTAGGGGAGTACCCACATAACACCTTCTACTGGCAAGTGAGAAGCCACTCACAGATGACATGACGTGGACTGTGAAACAGAGCATTCTGTTTAAACAATCTGTGAGCTTTGAAAACCACAGGGTTCACTGGGGCACGGTGGTGCGTGCCTTCACTATCAGCACTGGGAGGCAAATGCCAGGCAGATCCACATAGTCCCAGGACACCCAGGGCAACGTAGAGATCCTGTCTTAAATACGTAAACAAACAAGCAAATAAAAATAAAATCACAGCATTTACTGTTTAAAACCACCCTTTGTTCTTTAGTGAACTAAGAAGAGCAGATGCACTAAATGCTAGCCAAGTTCACCGTCTGAAAATTAATTTTCCTGCCTCTTTACAAACTGTCTAAAAAGTAATTTCAAGCTCTAATTTTTTAAAATAACAGTAAGTCAAGGTTATGTCATATGTTCCAGATCAAAAATGTAAGTCTTTAACTTAAGCTTGACACCATTGTAAACTTTTCTATATAGTATCTGCTTCTGTGCATACCTAAATGAAATGTCATCTCAGGGTGGTGACCTGTTTAGGGGAAAACTTTAATATGCTTTCCTTAGAAAAATGTTAATACATCTTGATACTGTGGTTCCAATATTAATTTTATTTTATCAGTAAAATTAAATATTTTAATTTTAATCAAATATTTTAATTAAATCAATATTTTTATTATCTTTATCAGTAAAATTAAATCTCTACCTCTGATTGTCGACAAAAGAAACTGCATGGTAGAATAATTATATATTTAAGTTCTGATATGATATCCTGTTAGCAACCGGTTTGGTGTTGCTGCCTGGGTGGGCACATGGGGCCTCACAGTGGGATCTGAAACGAGTGCTTATGGCTAGACTTCCAGAGACAGCATGCACGTCTTTAATATCCTGGGTATATTTCAAAGTGATGTTTTAAAATGACCATTAAACGGCTGGCTACTATATGGTACTTTGCATTTGCAGAGTAGGACTGAGTGAGGATGGCTGCTGTTCATGAAGGTGTCTTGAGCTCTTCTGAAGCACTGACTCTCCCTAATGCTTAGTAGTGAAAACGGGGGAAGGGGGAGGACTTCCTGTGCTGGTCTGTTAGCTCCTATCTCTTCTCTGCTGTATTTTCAAATCCAGCCCTGCTAACCCATGCTATGGGGCTGAGGTGTGCATGGTGGGATATTTAGCTGCATTCTTGGCCTCTACCAGCTTGTTACTCCCAGAACAAGTCACTCCTCACCTGCATCCTTGCCCCTTAACCACCATGAAGAAGCACTGATCTCAGATACCCTAAGAACTGAATCTGGATGCTTCTGAAATAAGATGTTGCCCTTGATTTTTCCTTAGATGTATACAGGGTCTTGGGAATATATTCTTGGCATGAATTCAGTCCTCAATACCAGACAGACAGACAGACAGACAGACAGGCAGGCAGGCAGGCAGACCAACAAGCAAAACCTTATATTTTCATAATATAGCAAGATATTTTCAGCAAACGTGTCAAGAGGCGATTAGATTTTAGCATGCAAACAGATAGTGGAGTAAGATCAAGTGCAGAGAATTAGGGGGTTTTTGGTTGTTTGATTGACTGAAACAGAATCACAGGCTGACCTTCAACAATATATGGACTGAGAGTGACCTTGTGTTCTTGACCCCTCTGCCTCCACCTCTCAAGTGCTGAAACAGGCAAGTTCCTACCACAACCAGCTATTTGTTTTTCAATCTAAATTGGCTTCGATTGGCTTTGTATAACTTGCTATACAGTTGAGACTGGCCTTGAACTTTTGATCCTCCAGCCTCTGCCTCCTGAGTTCTAGTATTTCAGATGTATGCCACAATACCTGTTTGTTTTGATGTAGTTAGGGTTGAATGCAGGGTTGTATGTATGCATGCATGTATGTATGAATGAATGTATATGTATATTATGCATATATGCATGTATATGTATATATGTATATATGTAGGTATGTTAGACTAGCACCAACTGAGCTACATCCTTGGCCTAAACACAGGTTTTGTACATGGTGACGGTAGTCATTGTCATAAGAAACTGGTATCATTGTCCCCAGGAAAATAAGAATTCTTTCTTCCTCATAGCACTGCTTGCCTATGCTACTATTACCAAAGAAGATGATTCTATTTTTATATATATAACTGTGTAAAAATTGGCAAGATAGAAAACAATTAAGGAGCAAAGTTAAAATTTCCGACTGTTTTTCTAACAAGTCAGTAATGGGGCAAGTTCATCTTTAATGATTAACCTCCATTGGCAGGCACTTGGCTGTTACAAATAATTCTTTTTTTTTTTTTTTTGGTTTTTTTTGAGACAGGGTTTCTCTGTGTAGCCCTGGCTATCCTGGAACTCACTCTGTAGACCAGGCTGGCCTCGAACTCAGAAATCTACCTGTCTCTGCGTCCCAAGTGCTGGGATTAAAGGCGTGCGCCACCACCGCCCGTCACAAATAATTCTTAATATAAATGGACATCCATTTATAATGTGTTCTTGTTGGACTGGTTCCTACAAGCAGAACTGCTGGGTCCGTTACCTTCACGGGAGGACTCTGAAGTTCCATCTGACCAAGTGTCACCATTCACTCATGTCTTGTCTAAGTGGTAGCTCTTTTCATCCGAACAGTGAGTATCCTTCCTCGGCAACATTTAGAGTGGGGTTTTGTCTAATTGGTTTGTTTACACAAAATTTTTAGATGTTGAGTCAAATAGCAAAAGTAATTTAGTTTTAAATTGTATTTCGTGTGTATGGATGTTGTGCCTGCACGTGTGGCTCTGCACCACTTGCTTGCTTGGTGCCCATGGAGGCCAGAAGAGGGCATCAGATTCCCCTGAACTAGGTTGAGAGCTGCCATGTGGGTGCTGGGAATCAAACTGAGCCATCTCTCCAGCTCCAAAATTAATTTTTAAGGAGAAAAGTCACCAGCATCCCACTGTTTTTTTCCTGATGGATGTTTCTGCGAGTGTAGTTTTGTTGTTGTTTGTTTCCTTTTGTCTTTCACACAGTCTTGTGTATCATAGGGTGCCCAGGGATGGCCTTGAACTTCTGATCCTCCTGCCTACATCTTCTAAGCACAGGCATTTGATGACACTAGGCCCTGTTCTAGTCCCTAGTTCCAATAATTGGCTAAATAAGAAGTCAGCTAAATATCTGGGGCTTTGGGTTTTTTGTTTTGTTTTTTCTTTTTAAATAATTAGATAAATTTATAAAAAAAATACACTATAGTAAAAACCTTGTCTTTTTCTCCCATCTTTGGATCTTTCATCTTTCCTGTCCCTCAGAGATTGCTATCACCATCATGATTCATACTTTACTTCCATAAGAAAAGCCTAATTCTAAGTGTGTGTTTTCTTCTTTGCAGAGTATTTAACAGCTCCTGCTTTGTCGTTTCTTCCTTTTTGAGACAGGCCATTGTATAGCCCAGGCTAGTCTTGAACTCCTCATCTTTTCGCTTCTGCCTCTTGAGTGCTGAGATCACAGAAACAGAGGGGCTGCTTTTCTAACCCTGCACCCCTTCTGTGTCCCTGGAAAAGATAAGTCACTGCAGTGTTGTACGTAAAAGCTTCTGTTTCGGTCCAAATCCAAAGAGAACAGAAGATACCCATTTTGATAGACTTTTACAATGTATAAGAATGAGGTGGTCATTTGGAATGACATGGGATGATTTCCAGGACGCACAGTCCACGGAAATTAATAGGTATAAAGCAGTGGTTGTTATAAAACTGGGTGTGGGAACGGATGAAGTCCTGAGTAACCGTGCTTTGTAGACATGAGCATGGCCATGTCAAGGATCGCAGTGTCACACACACCAACAGCAAAGCCTTCCCTGGTTTAGGCTCAGGGAAATGGCAGAGCTGTCCCCTTGTCCAAGTACTGAAGTTAAGAATATTGGCCTTTAACTAAAACCAGTGTAGCAGAAACTATTAATCACTGCTGCTTTCTCCAGATGACTGCAATCTAAGAATGCTCCCCTACAGAGACTTCCTATCAAGATGAGCTAGCCACCCTACTCCTCCAGCCGCATATGAAGACACCTGCTTCCTAATTCAGTGGTATATAATAAACGCACGGAGTTTGTGGGTTACTAGTGTGCACCCGCCCAATTAGAGCTTTTCAGTAGGAATGTCTGCTTGCCTTCTCTCTTATCAAGGGGGCAGGTCAACTCCAAAGCTGGACAGGTAGGAGCAGCTAGATATGGTGGCACAAACCTGTGCCTTTCTCAGGCCACAGGGGAGAAGGGTGTCCAGTGGTAGATCTCATACCCCTGGGGATGACAAAGCTACAAAAAGAGGTCCCTGTGTCAAGCCATCCTGTTTTTCTCAAGTTCATTACAGAATCAGGATTCAAAGAGAAATTATTGGAGTC